AATTATTTTTAAACATTATATTTGTAATTTAAGATAAATAATTTATATTATAGTTCAAGGTTATTTTTAATTATTGATAATATAGTATAAAATATTATTTTTTAATTTATAAATAAATATGATAAATAAAAAAATTGAATTTGATAAGTTAAAAAGAATTCTTACAAATGTTCCTGTAAAAGAATTATTTATAAAACCGTTTTTGTTCAAGATAATCGTTTTTCATTTAATATATAAGGATTAATTACGTTTTGTTTGCCATGTGATAATTGAACTTTTTGTTGAAGATAAATTATTTAAACAAGATTTATAATGTTTTCTCATTCATGATTATTGCTAGCGGTCATAGTTATTTGGTTAGTAATCACGAATAAGAAAGCATTGTGACATATTTATTTGAAAGAATTTATCTTCAATTAAAAGTCCAAATCTTGGACCAAATAAAACATTATTTTATATAATAATGATTTTAGGAATAATTTTTTTAGGAGAGTATTTTTAAGAATTTTTTTAGTTTCTTATCTAGTTCAATTTTTATTTATTTATTTATGTCATTTATTTATGAATGAAAATTTAATTGTTTTTTTTAAGTAACGGTTTGATCAACTTAGTTTAATAAACCGTTATTAAACTTAGATAACTAAGCAGCTTACCCATAAAAGTAGTTTATTGATTGTAAGTATCCTATTAACAAAATACATTTGTTGTGAGAATTAACGTGAAAAATTATCTGAGTGTCCCATAAGCATATATCTTTAAAAATTATCTGTTTAACTAGAAATATTCGAATTTTATCATACAATGATGAAACAAATTTCCACTATCAGACTAGGATACTTTGGTATTCCCCGCATTTTGTAGTTTTTGACCCTCTGGTCTATTTAGCAAACTTTTTTAATTTTTTTCTTGCAATGTCATGACTCTTTTTTGTTTTTTTTATTTTATGGATCTTTTTAATGTCATGATTGATGTTAAAAATTATATTTCAATCATTATCACTTAACATGATTCGTATTTGTGTTTTGATCAAAATTCATTCTCTAAATTGAAGTGTTCATAAGCTGTTGAAGAAGTTTCTTCACAAGAGCTTTGCATTTGTCTCAATTTTATAGCTAAAGAACTTAGGAAGGAAAATTAATATAGTCTATCTCTTTCTTTCCCACCTTAACATTTTGATAAGCATATTTAAATTTTTAGCTCGCTGGTTTGGCTGTTTTATTTCCTTTCTCCGTAACATTTCCTATCAATTGTCGAAGTATCAAAATCAACTTTGGAAGAATAAACAAGGCAAATAATACTACTACGTAGTCAAAAAATTTTTTTTTTGAAAGAGTTAAGTAATCAATATTTGGAATGATTAAATGAATGAAAAATGTGAAATCCACAATATTCAAAACTTAAGTATGAAAACAACGGTAGGAAGTAATCCTCCATTAAGTAGCATATAATATAGGTCAAGAGTCGAAAAACCATGTCCGAATTCATATAGAAGTCATCAGGTAATATATAGGTCAACAGTTCTTTAGCGCGAAAAACAAAAGCAGTATGTAAATAGCAACCCCTTAAAAAAAATATAAGAATGAATTCATCTTAATGAATCGAGTTCAGGTAATAAAAAAAAAAAAAAATAAATAAATAAAATTACCCCACACCGGCTCTTTTTCTATTGCAAGATATATCAATTAACTTCATTTTTGGTCTTCGGCCATACGATCCAAAGGCTATTTTGAACATTAGTCTAGACTCATCACTCAATTTAATTCTCTAAATGTTTTTTCTTTCTTTCCTAAGTTTTAAAATTAAAACCTTGATTGAAATAACCCCGACTCTGTCACTCAAACCAACAGGTAATTGGCAGAGTTAGCTTCAGTTGCTATTTGCTAGCAAAGATACAGCAACTAAAACTTAAACTTCAAATTCTCCCAAATGATTTCCCCTCCCTACTCCTATATTCCAACACTAATATCCAAACCAAAAGTATTGCAAGTTCGAATTATCAAATAGTTATTATTTAATATAATAGTTCCACAGATGTGTCCTCAATTTACGATGGAAACCCCTGTTGTTTACTAATGCAATGTTGAAAGAAAATTTTCAGTTAAAATTTAATATATAATAGTTCCACAGATGTGTCCTCAATATGTTGTAAGATAATTTTGGACGACAACATCGACCTCTAGTATTACTTAGGCAGCATGCACGTTAAAATTTGAACAGTTGACATAAAACACCAACATTAAGAAAGCAAGACACTGACAGTAGATCTCTAAGTAATGACCAAGACGTCAACAACCACCTTATAGTTGACACGAATATTTTACAACTCAAACTAGTGCCACCACCATATATTTTGACACTGTAGTCTGTAGGATGTTGCAATCCATCGTATGTAAAAAGTATTTTTAGACACAATAGTAACTTGAAATTTAAAATAATATAATCACAGTACTGAGAGAAATATATACGAACAAAACCATGCCAAAAAGCTTGACAAGCTCGGTAATGCCGACACACAAAGAATGAGTGAAAACGTGATGGGGGGAAATTTACTTTTGGAACCCACCAAATTGATATTGTTGGCTGCCTAGGTTTGAGAATATATCGTCTCCCGCTGCTGGCTGTGAAGGAGAGAATCCGGACCTACCAAGACCAGATCCTGAACCCATAGCTCTCCCCATATAAAATGAAGGTGGAGGGCCTTTTTCCTTTTCATCGAATCCATCACTTAATCCACCCACGATCCCAACTTCCACAAGAGATACTTTTTTAGCTGCGAAACAACACAAGAAAATTAATGGAGCTACTCAAACAATTGGCGTATTGGGGGATAAAGCAAACTGTGCTTGTGAAGGAAACTTGAGCGCAATTTTACACAAATAGGGAAATAAATAAACAGAACAAATTGCTCTCAAGAGTACATTTATTTAATGAGCTCATTCATGATAGTACACATGCAAAGTGAAACAAAGGAGAAGTAGATGAACACATTAATTTACTGAGATCATCCAACCCAATTCAAGTATGTATCTTTTAAAGGAGTTGTGCATCATTAAGATTTCATATACAAAAATTTGATGATCACTGTGAGAGGCACCACATGGTTTCCAGAAATGCTTTTTGAATATACTGTTAGTCTTGGAAGAAAAATGACCATAAAACAACAGATTATTTATAATATGAAGATATAGGAAATAAAATAGTAACTTATCACTATCATATTAAACCTGACAACGTAGTTGTGATAATCAACTTACGAGCAGTTATATTGAGATCAATCAGTCCACGGCTTAGTGAATCAGCCCAGATGCCAGACTTCACCTGGAAACCATCCTTTTTAGCTGAAACATTAGAGTCTGCTAAAGATTTACCATTCATATTATCATGCTTGTCATCACTGACAACATTATTGGAGGGCTGTGAAGATACAGAATCAGATTGTGAGGTAAAATCACCAAAAATATCAGATCCATCAAAATTATTAAGAGGAACAGCAGCAAAGGGATCAATTGTGCTGTTATTCACAGGAACAGAGTTCTCTGTCTTGCTGTCTGGCTGCACTGCCGGTTCAGGAATGGAAAACAAGTCAACTGTTGGTGTAACTGAAGGAATAGCTGGTTGTGAAGAAAACAGATCCACCTCAGCCTATGCGCACAACCAACAAGACACAAATGGAATTTTAGCAATGTGACAGAAAATATGGAGAAAGAAGGTTAGCAGGAAATCCATTATACTCTCCCTTGAGTAATTCACAATCACAAATTTAAAACTTTTAAAGATGAACAATTTTTCTCAAATGCAATTGATACGCTCAGAGCCATATGAAAAATTGTACATAACTTGTTAAGCATGCCAACTTTAACAGTTTACCAGAATTATAATATCAAAAACATAATTTTGGACATGAAACTGATTATAATTCAACATAGAGAATAGACCAATATATTTACTTCAATAAAGAATAGTGAAATCAAATGATCATATTTGAGCAACATTCTCACTTTTGGGGGCACCATTGATCATGGAGAAGGTAGGTATTGAGCTTAGGACCTAATTAATAGTAGAGATTCATTCTATTAAACAAGCGGGTGATTGGCAGCTGACTTGAAAAAAGTGTAACACTAAAAATAGAGATGATGAAATATAAACCTGTGGTTGTGAACTGGCTCCTTTGTCCACATGAGATGGAGCTGATACAAATGTTGCGTCTGCAAAAAGATCAACTTCCGGCACATTACTAGCTGCTGGCTTTTCTACAGGAACAGACGTTGGGGCATCCATGAGGTCACCAATTAAATCTTGTCCATAGAGATCAACCTGATTAGAGTTTCCGGCTGAAGCTTCTGTTGAAATTACAAAATGATTCAATATCATTTAAAAGGTAAAGCAACCCTACAACTGATAAGTGCATAATATACTTGTGGTAAATTAGTGAAATAAAATGCATGCTTTAAAGTGTGTTAATATAGATTTAATAGAAATTTAATGATGTATTTATACTTTTTTTTAGTTGTTTGGTAATCTTTGTGATAATTTTCTTATTTGAATGATGAGTATCCATTCCTATTCAATTTGCAGGGGTACTTTAGTAATAACTGTCAGGAAGTTGGCTCTCAGGTGGTGCTATGATAGGGACTGGGTATCATGGGGTGCCTACATCCCACATCAAATAGTATGGGATGCTTGGTGGAGTACTTAACTTGCTTGGTTCTCCTCCCTTAACAGCTAGGTCTAAAGTTAGGGTTCCCCAAGTGTTTGGATGCTTATTATTAGATAACCGAACAATATGTTGAACTTTGAAGGCCTGTATATGCAAGTTGCACATGCATCGCATATATAACAGTAAAATGTGCACAACAATAGTTTATATTTAACTTGACTGAATAGCTTAATATTTCTCTTATTATTAGATAACCGGACAATATGTGGAACTTTGAAGACCTGGGTATGCAAGTTGCATGTGCATCACACATAAAACAGTAAAATGTGCACCACAGTAGTTTATATTCAACTTGACTGAATAGCTTAATATTTCTCTTAAACAAATGGAACCAGCATGTGCAAGAATATACAAAGCAAGTCACACTAAAAGAAAGGCTAGAAAGGGGATTAACTATGGTTTGTGGTCAACTTAATGGTGACAAAACTGTAGTCAATTTAAAAGGCTTTTAACTCAAATGTACAAATTGCATGTGCATCACAGTACCTCATATATAACACACATTACAGTAAAATGTGCACAATAATTTATCCTCCACTTGAAGGAATACATAATTCTCTTAAACAGAATCAGCAACGACAATGTTGAAGACTGTCTTTTCAAAATACTTACTGGTAGAAGTTCCTCTAGGATCAAAATCATCCATGTCATCCTCTGTATTGTTTGCAGGTACACTTGAACTTTGAGAAGGAACAGAACCATAATTATGTGCATTTGTCGACGACTTTGATACTCTAGAGGACATGTTCTCCTGACTTTGACTTTTACTGCAAGACAGACATTCTGAGATAAGAATAGGCGCAATATAATCATTGCAGTGTGGAGAGGCAAAATGTATCTATTTGTGCATAAAAACCAAAGGGAGTTTAAGTAAAAGGTTGAAATTGAGATAAGCATCTAAACCATTAACCGAGCTTCCCATTTAAAAGTATTATCAAAATTCAAAAGTCAAAACAAGCTTGTTGAACTAGGTAAGGAAGAGTCCATATCAAAATTTGCCTTTGTCTCCTGCAATGAGTATATAACATGCATCATGCACAAGTAATATGTCCTTGATTCTGACAAAATATTTAACTTCCTTTCTGCTTTTATGAATCTTTTATTTATTATGCACATTTCTCTAATATTTTAATATATCCATGAGATAAAATTTCTTCTGAAGTAAAAAACTTTAGAAAATCATTTTGGAAAAGAGGGGAAAATTAAAATGAAATCTTGTGTCATCAACATTTAAAGAAGTGCTTTTCTAATTATTATTCATTTTCATCTAATATTTTGCTCTTAGGGAGAACAAGCAATAGTATTAAAGTTAGACGTTTCATCTTGAATCAAGGGCTCAAGGCTTTCTCAGACTCCAATGCTTTTTCATATGCTTTGTACATATATCATTTAATTTTATTTTAGTTGCATTGCTTCCGATGTAGGCCACTACGCCATCTACCATTAATTAAATTGGTAGTAATAACTACATTTATGCACCAAGTTCTCAAATAATCACCAATTGCTCTCAAACACAAGGTTACAGCAATCTCCGTATAGTATGAATCAATCATAAAATTACATTTGCCATTATTTGCAGACCATAATAGCAGTTAGATATGTCCTACCTGACAGAGCGTGCAGAACCCTTCTTGTAGGAGTTCTCTTCATCAATGGCATGGTGTGATTTTTCATGGTAATCTTTTTCTCCTTCATAGGATCCCTTGTCTCTATAGCTATCACTAAACCTGTCACCGTCTCTAGATCCAAAACCTCCATATTTACCACTGCTCTGATAGCTGCCACCACTACTAAAGGAGGATGACCCAGACTTATATGTGATTCCACTAGAAGAAACTCCAACATACCTAAATTGAGCACCCAATAAGAAAACAAGAAAATTATTTTCTGATTACATAATCAATAGTAGCTTTGTCAACCTGATGATTCTGGGTGGAAAATATTGAAAAATTTGACCTACTTGTCACGGTTTGCAGCAGCTTTATTTCTGACATCATGTATCTTATCTCTATCATTCAACAGGGACACGATGTTTTCTGCCTTCTTCCTTACATTGAGTCCCACATCCTTCCCATTTGGCTCAACATATTCAAAACTAGAAAGTGCCTTTACCAATCCAAAGTAAATTATGATTATATAAGAAAACACTCTTTTATTATACTTATCAGCATGGCTGTTAATTGCAATAATAAATTAGCTAAATACAAGAGAATTGTCCTTACCGAGATCTGAAAAGTATGTTCAATAATGTCATCAACTGCACGTTCAGATCCATGTGATACCAAATATTCTATAACAGCTAATGCCTGACATAAAAGTAATTCAAGTTATTGAAACAGAAGCAAGTTGTGTGTATCAACATAGAAAATGGCACCAAAATTCCTTCTCTTTGCATCTTAAAACCTTAGGAAATAAAATGGTTATTCGGAAAGCATTACATTGTATGCATAATGCCAATCCTAGGGAAATAATAATACGATTCTTTGGAAAGCATTACCTTGTATACATAACGCCAATCTTTTCCGGTTTCACCCAGCCTTGTCCATAGCACATTCATGACCATTTGACATTCAGTACTGAAAGTATAGCAGAAGCAATCAACTTACTAGAAAAAGTATTAGAAACTTTCTAAATATGAAAATCAAAAACAAATAAAAAGTAAAATAAACGGAATAGTGATAGATAGCTGTTTACAATTTTTTGGTAGCCTGTGCAATCTCTGCCAGCGCAGTACCATGAGGACCCCAAGGTTCATTATCAGTTGCATCCAGCACCTAAATTGCAAAAAATGGTGAAACACTCAATAAAATAACATCAGCGGCCAATCCTAGTGTCTTTAAAGTTTGTGAATATATGAAATCTAGCAGTTATCCAACACATTGCCTCAACTAATTAGAAAATTAGGCAATACTAATAGATAGAGACCAAAGTACTATGCCGCAATCAATGACGCACGCAATTATACAGAAACGTAGAAATCCTTATCGATAAAGATATATCCATAATAAATGCAATTCTCGTGCTCTAACAAAAGGTATTCAAATCGAAATGGCAAAATTTCTCAGAAACAAAAAATTTTAAAAAAATAAAGCAGTTATTGTAATATTTTCAACGAAATCTACGCAAACCACAGCGAATCCGCAACAATTAGAATGTTACCTTCTGCTCGATTTCCGGAACCTTGAGCACCTTCAGATTCACCTCTCTCTTTCTGTTTTCATAATCATAAGAACAAGGTGAATTAATATCGGAATATTTGAAAATTGAAATAGAAACGAAAATTGCAATGCGAAACGACGAAGGAGGGATTGAGAGAGTCGCTCACATTTCTCGCACGGTTTGATCGAAGACCTTCATGAAATCCATGGCGGATCTGACAAACGAGAGGCTGTGGATCTGATCTGATCCGATCTGAAGAGAAAGGTTAGAAAGGATTTATATTCGTTGCAGCAAATTCGATGGCTATAGTTCCAGTAGCAACGATTTGAGATCTAACACATTTCGATCGATTCTTTTTGTTTTCAAAAATTTCTCCTCATTGCAGCCCTTCAGAATAAATATGTTTACGGTAATACCATTAAATTTTTTATTTTTTATTTTTTATTTTTTATAAGTTTACTTTTATAAAATAATTCTTCTTATTTATCAGTAATGTAATATATTACTTTTATTTTATTGTTTTTTTTTAATAAAAAAAATTATTGCAGTTTATTATCAATATCTATATTTATACTAATCTATATTAATATATAATGAGAATATCTTTTTTTAGTAATCACCACCTAGTTTCTATTTTTTTACCATTCTATCCTTCTATTTAAAAAGAAATTAAAAAAAATATTTCTTTATCAAATTTACTTTTATCTATACTAATAAATTAATCATAACACTAATTAAATCAATATATTTTTATTATTTAATTTTTATTTTTTTATCTTTAATAAATGTTTGAAGTACTTCAATTCCACTAGTATATTATAAAGAATGTTTAAATATATAATTATTTTTTTCTCTACTCTTTAATGAATTATTATATCTTTTATATTTAAATTTTTTTATATTCTCTTTAGAGTTTAAATAATTATACAATATTTTTTAACATTGTATTTGTATATAATTACTAAACCCTAAACACATAATGTAACCCTACAACATCGTGGTGCAAATCAGATTCTTTTTTTTTTTTACTTCTTCTTTTATTGGGCTTGGACCCAAAAGATATTTTAGATTTTAAATAGCTATTCTTAGTGGTTTGAGACACTTTTTGATCAAATTAGAAAGAAAAAAAACGTTGTTTTGATAGAACATATGGTTAAATCATCTTATTCACTTTTACTTTTCAGATTATCAGTGTTTCTTTTATGGTTTTTTTTTTATATCTTGTTTTCATAGCTACCGTGGATTAATTCTCTATGTTTTTAGAATTTGACATTAGCATATGAAATTTGAAAGAATTAATTTCTATAATCTTGTGTGACTCTTGTTAGTTTTATTTATTTTTACTGGATTTAACATTATTTTAAGTTATGTTTCACAAATATAAATTAATTTTTAATTATTGATTTAAAAATATTATATGGACTATAAAAAATTTGGGATGAACCAAGAGATAAATCTATAATTTCATAACCATAAAAAATAACATATTTTAATCCACAACAACATTGTGATGTCTTGACTTGAGGGGGTGGGAACTTCTAAAAACCAAAACACTTCTCTTTTTGTTCTCGGGTTCTTAAGGGAAGATCTCTAAGACTTAGAGCTGAATCTGTGGTATAGTTGTGGAGCTTGAGTTGCTGGAGCTTTGTGGAAGAAAATATGCACAAATGTTTTTGATGATCCCAAAGTGATTATAAAGCATTGAAGAAGAATCAAGGTTGAGCTAAAGCAAGTTAATGCAAGAACAATATCTCAAGTGTTACATAGATAAGTCTTGTCAACTTAGCTAAGAATGTAAAAAAATCTTTTAAAATTGAAAGTATGTTTGGCCTTGAGAATAAGTTTTCAAAAATCTCAAATTAATTTCTTTATATTTAAGCAAGTGTTAAATCTTTTGAAAGTAAGTAAAACTGTTTTTGAAAGACTTAACAAAAGCTTTAAAGAATAGTTCAAATCATTTCTTAAAAGAGATTTGTGAAAGAAATTATTGATATGAAATTTTTTACATAAAAGTTTTTGAAACAATGCAAAAATATGTTTTGGTAATCCATTACCAGACCTTGTAATCCATTACCAGAACAAGAAAACTTCAAAGTTCATATTTTGAATACAAAATGTGTTTTGGTAATCGATTACCATACCTTGTAATCGATTACCAGAAGATGAATCTTCCAAAATTGAATTTAAATAATATGTTTCAAACATTTTGAACTTAAAAATCGTTGTAATCGATTACCAAGTCTTCTAATTGATTACTAAAGATTCTTTTATGAAAAATTATAGAGAGTTACAACTCTTCATGAAAAGACATAACCTAAAAAATAATTTTCTATAAATACCGGTAATTTTTCAGAGAAAGGTTACGAACTCTATTATGAAAAAGTCATATACAAAAACATCTTGGCCAAATTCATTTGCATTATTCTAAAAGAGTTCATTAAGATCATAAAAGTGTATATCTATTCTTAAAAGAGAGTTATTTTGTAATTCCAAATTGATCATTTGATCTGTAAAGGAGAAATGGTTTTTCTCCTTGTTGGTTTTTGAATCTCAACACAAGGAAAGGGAGTTCTAAGGTGTTGGTGGATTCAAGTCTTGTAAGAGTTACAAGAATAGTGAAAGTCTCAAGTTGGAGAATTGAGGACTGGATGTAGGCAAGATTGACCGAACCAATATAAATTGAGTTTGTAATTCTTCTTTTCCTACACTTTTTAATTACTTGTTATTAATTGTGATTGAGTAGTTTGCATCATCATTCATTCTTTACATATAAATTTATCTAAGGAATTGAATTTGTAAGAAAGTAATTCGAAAAAGTTTTATAAGAGGAAAATTTGGAAAACTTAATTCACCCCCCCCCTCTTAAGTTATACGAGGCTATTTGACTAACAAGCTCGAAGCCCCTTTCCTTCTCATTCTCTTCTTCCACCTTATAGCAGCTTGAAGATCTTCTTCTTCACTCTTCTTTTCTTCTTCTTCCTCGAAGATCTTGAAATCAAGTTAAAGGAAGTTGGAAATCTTGGATTTTTATGATTTGTGGGGTTGTTAATTGAGTTAAGAACTCAAAATTGGTAGGATTTTTGAAAATATGAGCTAGGGGAAAGGAATTGGAAGTTGTTTGCATGTAGAAACTAAAATCTTGATGTTCTTGATGATTTCTTTGAAATCTTGATGCATGCATGTTAAATTTCTTGCGGTTTCTAGGTTGTATGAACAAATTTAGTAGAGATTATGGATGTAGATCATGTTTAGGGGGTAAAATTGATGGAATATAGGTGAGGAATGAAGGTGGGAAGCCATGAAAGTGCAAAAAAATTTGCACTCAACGCTAGAGCATTGGTGGAGTACTGAAATTGTGAGAGAAAACAAGGTGGTAGAGATCCAATGTTATGACACTTATTTGAGCGATGCAGCCCTATGAGGAACTAATTTGGCAAAGATCCAGTGCTGCAGCTTTGATTGAGCGCTAAAGCCCTGGGAGAAAATGAAGCTGGCAGAAATCCAGCACTGGAGCACTAAATTGAGCATTGCAACATTAGGGGTAAATGACTGAATTTGGTATTGGGGTCTTCATGAAAGTTATAGCCTTGGATGTTATCTTTCCAATGGCATTGAAATCACCCAAAAAAGAGGTCTAAAACTCCAGTTATAACCTTTTTTAGTGAGGAAAGGTAAAGTTGTCAGCATTTAGGCAAATGGTTACGATTTTACAATTTTTAACATGGTAGATGAGGGAATTGGAATCTGAGTTCTTCATGAAAGTTGTAGAAAATCTTCTTTTCTTTCATATGAGATAAGGATGAACATGATAGGAGTAGTAGAAATTCCTATGGGTTTTTTTTATGTGAAGGTTATTAGTGTAGGAATAAGTGATTTTGATAAATTGCATGTGATACTTGTTGTAAGATGGGTGAATTTGGTGAACATGAATAGAATGCTTGTGTCTATTGCATGTTGTGTGTTATAGGATGATGATGATAAGCATTGGTATGCTATTTTTGTGTATTTAAAATGATAATAAGCATCAATATGTTATCTTATGTATTTGAAATGATAATAAGCATTGGAATGCTATCTTTGTGTAGTTGAAATGGTGATGAGCATTGATATGCTCCATATGATTGGTATGCTATTGTTGAATGAATGGTGGTGCATTGATATGTTATCATCGTATGAATTGTTAAGCATTAGTATGCTATACATGATTGATGTTATTGATTTCTATATGCATTGTGGAAACTGAGAATGTGGTGTGACATTATTACATGAAGGCTAACTTAGGATTTGAGGAGAGAAAATTATTTTGAAAATTGAAGATCTCACATAGGATAACTTGGAGTGGTTATCGAGTAGGCCACTATTTGAAAAACCCGCCTTGAGTAGGTGTGTCTCTTGGAGTAGGTTTTGAGGTGTGTTGAGTCTCCTCCAAATCCTTGAGTAAGGTAGGAGGTCGAGGGTTACAACCCTTAACCATGTACCTAGAAAGGTTGCGTGATTCCTTAAGAATAATCAGTGGATGAATTCCATATGTGACTTGGTAATACATGTCAAGGTTGTGGTAAACCTATACCTAATTGTACTACTCCTGACGGTGGAACCGAACTTTCCTAGTGTAATTGATGAGGCTGAGAAACCAGATGAGAGATTAGTATCCCATTTTGTTGTGATCGCACCGACGTTTTGGGCGTGAAAATGATTAGGTTGGTTTGGTAGGGTGGAAATCACTTAAACTATTCATGTTGTTAAGAGATCTCTGTAGGTGAATGCGCGACGATGCATTGATTGATGTGTTTGAATATGATGTATGTTGAGGTGTGTTCACATGCATTTTGATGTCTTTTAAGACATGATTGGGTGAGGTACATGCTTGCTTGGATGTGATTAGCTTTCATGTATGATATCTGGTGTGATATTGTATATTATAGACTTGTTTTCTATATGTACATGTCTTTAAATTCTAGCTTACCCTTTCTGTTTTCATGGTGGTTTGGACTGCGATGATCATACGTTGTATAAGAATAGATTAGCGCTAGGGCTTGAGGAGTTAATACAGGCAGGTGTTGTGACCTTTTGATGGTTGTATTACTAATGTGCCATGTATAGATGTGTTTGATCAGCACTAGGATGTAGGATTATTTTGAGATGACTATATATATATATATATATCAGGTTTATATTGGTTTGATTTCTTCTTATATACTCATGATACTTATATGTATGGTATATTCTCTTTTATTAATCTTTCACATTCTAGTAACTTAGCTTCAGTTGCTAGTGTAAGTGATTGCATAGAGTGTGTTGACTATGAAGGGTCATTTTCACTTTTATGGTATTAGATCCAATCGAGTTTGTTGGGCACCTTGTGGGGGTGATCTCATTAGGTTTCTGTTGTGTGATCTCTGTGATATGTGGGGTAGTAGTTGTGTATGGTGATGGTATAATATTTCTAAATGGTTTTTGATTTCTTGTAGAATGGTTAGACCATAGTATGATCAGATTGCTAGGGCCATGGTTGTATACTCGTGTTATATGTATATATGGTATATTTCTTCCATTAATCATGTACGTTCTAATAACTTAACTTCAATTGTTAGTAACAGTGATTTTACATAGTACAACGCCTATAATGAGTCGTTATAAACATAATTAACTCTAAGAGAATAAAACAAATTAAAATATAAAGTATAACAAATTTAATTCAATATAATTAACATAAAAGTAAATACCTCTTTTTATCTTGAGATAAAATAGAGAGTAATTTAAATTTATTCATCTTCTATAGGAATTGGTAAGAATACAATAATAATAGAAAATTTATTTATTATCATAATGTCAATACTAAGAAGTTTTCATAAAATAAATTTTCAATGTAATTTAATTATTATTTTTTCTTATTTAAATGCCAAACATTGAATTTACCTCACACAATTCACATTTTAATTTCTAATTTTTCCATTTTAATTATGTTTAATAAGTAATATTTATTTTGAAGATGCAAGGTTCTCAAGAAAATAACTACTTACTTTTTGACATGGTTGGTGATGACTGTGTTTCTTAACTCGGTAATTATTATTTTTTTTAATAAAAATTAGACGTTAATTTTCTTTCTTTTTCAAGCTTCACGTTTCCTTCTCTTTTGTAGGAATTTATTTTATTTATGCAACTATATCCAACTCTAACTGTTATTTATTTATTTATTTATTTTTTAAGTATAGGTATATTAAACTTAACAATTAAAAATTAATTTATATTTATGAGATATAATTTTTTTTGATAAAATATTATTTTAATACAGACAAAGTTTTTTTTTATTATTTGTGGAACATGGTAATGATTTTTAATTTCTCAGCTATTTATGTATTCATTTTAATTATAATTGTGGCACTATCAATCGTTGGTTGATTGATTAACACTCGTGAAAGGTATATTACATAATTAAATGGTCAATGGAAAAGTCCCTTAAGAAGGACAACGATTGTTAAAATGTAAGAAAGAATAGGACAACGATTCAATGCAAATATTCTTGAATTGTGTTGAATTGGTTGGCACACATGCTCATTTTTTAACGTCGTGGGGTGTGAAAGTTATACAATATGTAGTTTATTTTTGATAAATAATATTCTTTATTTAAATTAATAAAATAAAATTATTGAGTTATCCTATAACTATAATAAAAGAAACAAGTGTATCGTTATGCTAATAAATAAAGAATAAAAATATTTTAAAAATTATATAAGCAAAAATAGATAATCACTTTTTTTTATCGTTATAGATGAATGCCATTTTAAATATTAAAAATTAAATATTTTGAAATAATTAATGCACTACAAATAAATAAATACTAGTAACAACACAAAATGAATTTTCTACTTTTTTTTATAAAACCAAATCCATCTTTTACACAACAAGATAAATAAAAATATTACGAATGATATATTTTTTTATAAAATATTTGATATAATTATATATATTAGGACTTAGACTAAAAATTATTAATTAAGTTAAAACAAAAAAATTTCATTACATGAGATGAATTTACCAGTATAATTAGCATATTTACATTAAAAATATAAATTAAAAATAAATGACACGTATTGTCAAAATAAATAAATGATGCGATCTTAACACTTTATTGTCATATATATATATATATATATATATATATATGATTGTTTTTATCTAACACATTCTACTCATTTAAGCTTATTAAAATTTATAAAGTCTCCTTAATTATATAATGAGTTTATTCCACCGATTAAATTTCAATTCCTCATACATTTTAACTAATAATAGAAAATTGCCGGAATAAATAAACGTGTCCCATAAGATAAAGCAAAAGGCATCAAACTAATTATCATACAATGTCCTAAAAAAACAACTAAAGTATCTAGATGTGATAATGAACTAAAGAGCATAAACAAAATTGAATATACTTGCTATATCTCTCGTTTAATCCAAAACTTTTTAACTTAAATTAGTAAAACAATTAATTTTGGTACATCTCTTCAATTAATTTCTTAGAGCATTGTTAGGATAAAACTATCAACAAGATATTTATTCTATATGGAAGAACTTATGAAAATAATACATAATATTTCATTCATATATTTTGAAAAAACTTACAAGAATTTAAATAATAGAGGACCAACGATACTATTGCAACGACTAGTAGGTTGTTTTAGGAAAATCTATAATAGAAAAAAGAAAAAACTAAATATTAACATATAAGTTATCAGGAAAAAAAAGCAGTGGGATATTTGTTAAAAGAGAGAAAGGGTAACAAAGTTGTGCATCTTTCTATCATTGCGTGAACAATACACGAAAATATATATACAAAATGAAGAAAGAGAATATAAAATGAAGAAAGAGAAAAATCACGTGAACGGTTATAACAAACTATATATAAAATAACCAATTATTGTTGAGACCCCCCCTCAAGCTGGGAATATATGTTTAGCATGCCCAGCTTGGAACACAAAGCATGAAACTTGGAAGGTAATAAGGCCTTAGTGAAGATGTCAGCAAGCTAATGAGAAGATGATATCGGAAGGAGTTTGATTAAACCAGATTGCACTTTCTCACGGACAAGGTGGCAATCGATGTCTATATGCTTGGAACGCTCATGGAAGACTTGATTTGAAGCTATTTGGATAGCTTATTGATGATCACAATAAAGAAGAGACGGACGTTGAAGAGAAACACGAAGATCAGCAAGAAGATAAGCAAGCCATTGAAGTTCACAAGTGGTGGCAGCAAGTGCGCGATACTCAGCCTTAAACGAACTTCGAGAGACAGTGCGTTGCTTCTTTGAACGCCAGGAAATGAGAGAATCACCAATATAAACAGAGAACCCAGTGATTGAACGTCGAGAGTCAAGGCAACCAACCCAATCTGAATCACTGAACGCCTTTAGTTGAAGAGAGCTGGTTGCAGATAAGAAAATTCCCAAGCCAGAAGCTTGTTTCAAATATCGCAAAATATGAAAGGCAGCCTGTGAATAAGCCGTGGTAGGAGCAGAAATAAATTGGCTCAGATGATGAACTGCATGAGTGATGTCAGGGCGTGTTGTGGTGAGATAGATGAGGCGACCAATCAATCTACGATAAGCAGAAGGATCTGATAAGGGGGTACCAGTGGTGGTAGACAAACGAGTGGAATAATCCATGGGTGTAGCAACAGGACAAGAAGCAAGCATGCCACAATCAAAAAGTATATCCAGTGTGTATTTGCACTGAGAAAGATGAATATTGGATATCAGAAGAAAAGAAGTGGGATATTTGCTAAAAGAGAGAAAGGATAACAAAGTTGTGCATCTTTCTATCATTGCGTGAACAGTACACGGAAATATATATACAAAATGAAGAAAGAGAATACAAAATGAAGAAAGAGAAAAATCACGTGAACGATTATAACAAACTATATTCAAAATAACCAATTATTATTGAGATAAGTTTCTTAAGTGTGATACTCATGTAAGTGCTTGGGCCTTTGAATTTGTCTAATGGGTCTATCCATTTTAACTTGAGAATTGAGCACTCGAATAATTGGCTTTATACCATAACCATTACTGAAAAAAGAGGACCTTGTCCTCGAGGTCCAAAATAGGGCCATAAGAGAAGCACTATGTGTGTTTGTTTGGAATGGTTGTGATATCTTAAATTGCTGACTTGACAAATCTAATGGTGGTGTGGAGGGTGATTTTTGGGGTGATGAGAATGTGTAAGGAAAATTAACGTGGTTTGGTGAAAAATGTGGCTAGCTTGGTCAAAGGTTTGAATGATGTGATGGAAAGTTGGGAATTTGACATGTGGACTTTGGTGTGTGGTGGGTTTGGTTTGAATAGACAATGAAGATTGTTTGGGAACATGAACGGGTATTGAGGGGCCCAATTGATTGCTTAAGGGTTGGGAAAAAGAGTTAAGTCAGGAGTGATTGGATTAGATATAGTAGTTGGTGCGAATGGGGAGAAAGAGTTTGGAGAGGTGGAGGTTGAACTTGGAAGACGAACGAAGTGTTTTGAAGGGTTGTTGTTGTGGTAAGGTTTAAGCAAGGAGACTTGGAATCTGAGCTAGAGACAAGGATGACCACCAGTGAAATAACAACGATATATATGCTTCTAAACAACAATTCACTACCTCCGTTTGGTCGTCGAACTGAGGGTGGTAAGTTGTTAACAACTTCAATTAGGTTCGCTGTACTTTAAAAAGATTTTTCCAAAAATGACTTACATATAAAGGGTCTCTGTCTGATATAATTATTTTTGGTTTTCCATGCAAACGACAAATCTTTATGGAGAAGTAAAAGACGAGTTATTATGCTAAAAAATGCGTAGGCAAACCCATTAAGTGGACATACTTTGATAATTTATCACAAATGACCCATATGACAGTATGACCAAAAGAAAAAGGCAAATGTGTGATGAAGTCAGCAGTAAGCTCATCCCAAACTTGATCTAGTGTTGGAAGGGGTTGAAGGAGACCAATTGGTTTTAAGGGTTGATATTTGTGTGTTTGAGAAATTAAACAAGTAATGATAAAGATTTTGGTGCCCTTAACAAAAACCTAGCCAATAAAAAGAAGCATTTAACCAAGCCAAGGTAGCTTTGAGCTCGGAGTGACCACTAGTAGGAGATGCATGATACTCTATAATCAAGGTGTTGCAAAGACACTATAACAAAAACACAAATTTTCGATGAACATAATCTGTCGGTAAAATGGAATATTCATCGAAAATAGAATTTTTGACGGATTGCATCGGTCGAAAAAATGGGTGTTGGAAAAAAAAATCCACAAAAAATAATCTAACTCGTCGGAAATTGTTTGAGAATCTTTATGTGATTCCAACGGATTTATTCTTCGAAATTTTTTTGTTTAATTTTAATAAATTTATTAATGTAACACCCCTCGTATTTAGCCTCTCATGGGTTTTATTTCATGACACTTAACTCTTCAGTGTGTTTTGTCCTTACTTGCACAAATTTTTAGAAACTTTCAAGAAGGTCACCTATCCCTATATTACTCCAAGTCAAACACACTTAACTAGGGAGTTCTGATGAGATAAGTTACCGAAAAGTAGATGTATGTTGTCAGTATAGGTAGTACAAATTAATTCATATAAGTCATCCTCAACTATATAATCTCATACTTGTACTATCTCTGGATCTCTCTCATTTTGGTGTGTTCGAACTGTTATAAAAATATAATAATATATAATAATTATATTACCAATAATAATAATTATATTATATTTAATCAATCTTTATTTATATATACTTACTTTTATAATTAACAATCTACTTATTTCTATTTAAAACTAATATTATGATACAATTTAAATTACTTATTATAAATTAAAAAAATTTAAATAATAATTTATATATTTTAAAATATTATTTTTATAATTTATAATGATAATATAAATATTTTATTTATTATATACTTATAAATTAAATTTTAAGATTTTACATAAATTATTAATTAACTTAATATATTTATTTATCTTAAATCTAAGATATAAAATTCAAAAAAATGTATTTATCCTTATTTTATTTCCTAATTATCAACCATTAATAAAATACTAATTTAAAATCTTATCTAATTATATCAGAATATTTTTATATCAAATTTAAAATAAGATATTAGTTATACAAAAATATCAAGATCATATAGTAAATTGTCAATAAGATTCTAGTTAAATAATTTAAAATAATTAATTTTTCAACTATATTGTTAGAAAATAATTTATTCCAAAATTAATTAATTTTTTCTATATTAATTATTAGTAAAATTTAATAACTTTTAATTTAACAATTGGATCGATGAAATTCAAAATACACCATGAGTTATTGAGCAGAGTAACTTTACCAAGAGTTACTTTGTGAGTCATTTGATTCCTCCTCCTCCTCTCTCTCTCTCTCTCTCTCTCTATATATATATATATATAATTTTATTGATCTTTTTTAATATATGATTATCAATTTTTGTTAAAAATTATTACATTTTTGACAAATATAAATTTTTCAGAAATGTTCTATCAATAATATAACTTTTTTATGAATTTTTTTTCATTGGAAATATAAATTTTTCAACAGATTTGTATTCGTAAAAAATGTAAATTTTTTGATAGATTTGTATCCGTCAGAAATTACCGATGGATATATCCGTCGGAAATATAAATTTTTCGACAGATTTATATCCGTCAAAAATAACCCATTGGTAATATAATTTTTCCTACAATTTTTTTTTTCCGTCGGTAAAATCTGTCGAAAATACAAATTTTGCGACGAATTTGTATCCATCGAAATTATCCGTTAGTAATTTGCATTTTTCTTGTAGTGAGATCTATTGATACGTATATTTTATCTTTGAAAAAAAGTAATTCATCTTGAAGTTAGAAATTTGGATTTTGGGACAACAATGTTTGACCTTTTCTTTTCCTTTTTCTTCTAAGGTGAAATAATGGCGAAGTTGGTTTAACAAATCTGGAATTGGTGAAGAAATGGTTACCAACAAAATGGGTGGTTGAGAAGGTTCGTCTTTCGATCTCGATAAAACATCAATAACACGGTTTGACGTCCCTAGTTTGTAAAATATCTTAAAAGTGTACCCAAGGAGTTTTGTGGAGCATTGAGGTTGCTTCAGTATGGTGATCTTTTGGGTGAGTAAATTCTTCAAACATTTTTGATCTGTAAATATGTGGAAATGATGTCCTCACAAGTACGTTCTCCAATTTTTTTTTACAGCGAAGGTCACAACAAACAATTCTCGAACATAAATTGAGACAACCTACATGTGAGGGCAAAAATATTTGCTAAAATAAGCTATAAGATTACCAAATTGAGATAGCACAACACCTATGGCAACACCAAATGCATCAATTTCAATTATGAATACCTGGGAAAAATTAGGAAGTATTAATATTGGTAAAGTAGTCATAGTTGATTTAAGCTTTGTAAAAGCCTATAAGGTTGAATCGTTACATGTAAAAGTAAAAGATGGACGAAGCAAGTCGATGAGAGGAACGATGAGAGTGGTGTAGTTTTTAACAAAAAAATGATAAAAACCAATCATCCCTAAGAAATCACGTATGTAACACCTTAATGTAATGCCCAATTTATATAATAATAATTATATATTCTTATAACATATTCTCGCAATTATATCATTAACAATATATATTTATTTTAATGAAGATAAAGATAAAGAAAAAAAATATGTTGTAAATTTAATACATGACATATCGTTCTAAAATATTTAGAATAACGTGCTATTTTACACATTATTTCTTTTTTCCACTTTTATGACAATATTTACATCGATAATGAAAAGAAATTTACAATTCAAATAATATGGTTGACAAATAAAATTATAAATCCATCAAATAGTCTCTATATTCCAATCTCTTCCAAGTAGGACAGTGGTAATAACAACTGCAAAATGATCTGAAATCCCAAGTAGATCCATCTATTTTATAATATATTTAATTTAAAAAAAAACAAAGAAAAGAGAGGAGTAAGAACAATATCCAATAAATACAATAATTCAAAAGAGTATACAGAATTAATTATAATTAATATTAAGCATATATATGTATATATATAAATATATATACAGATCATATATTAGATTTTTATGATACAATAAAATTTGAATTATACTTGTAGTGACTAGTCAGGATAAATGAACATCATCATAATATCAACCAATAAAAGGATATTTTATCTTAACCAATAATAGGATATTTCACCTTCATTTCTTACTCATTTAAATCCCCAAGGTCAAACCTCCAGCTACAAATAATTCAAACTTTATCTTCTATGATCATAGAACAATATTTATGAAGATAAATACATGAAGAAATAAGTCCAAAATATCACAACTATATTATAATTGATTATAAAATATATTTACAATAAATATATTTACGTAAAAACAATATATTAAAAGTACCAATGATATAAATAAAAATGGAAATCATTATAACATAATTAAATAATATAAAATATGAACACCTTAATAATTATTATAGATAAAAATAATCATAGGTTAAACAAATAAATGAGGTCAGGGACACCTCACTAGATAAATGTACAAAGAAAATAACATAAATAAATAAACATAGTAGTAGATAAAATTTTAAAGAGATAAGGTTCTCCTCCCTCATACC